TATAGAGACATCTTCGCCCTACTCATTGCACAAGTTTCGATTTTTTCCACAATTTCACCGATTTTTGCCATTTGTTAAATTCGGATGTTGCAACTTGTGTTCCGCTACAATTGTTGTAATCCGGAGTTTCTCAAAATTCACCAGCCAAAATCACGACTTGATACAGGCTTGCTTTGGGAACTATTGGATAGAGAAACATTCACTCTATTTGCTGTGTAAGTGCAGACCTTTTTCTGAATATGGTCAAGTTTTGCTAAATTTTTCAAAATGAGATAGTGCCATTTGATTTCAGTGGCATCCAGCAAGCCAGGATTTTTTCAAAAATTCACCAGGCAAAATGTACATGATTCAGAGAATTGTCTTATATTCCGTTTGATGGACAAATCGATGCTCTAGTTGTGTTCCAAGCGTGGATTGGATCGAACATTTCGTTGATTTTTAACAAATTATTTAAGTTTGGATGTTTCAAATTGCTTTCGGCAACAGCCAGCCGATAAGGATTTTTCAAAAATCGACCACATGAACTGGAGATCAGATGCAGGATTGTATTAGAGGGCATTGAATAGAAAAACCGTCGGTCTATTAATGGTGAAAGTTTCAAGGTTCTAGATAATTTAATGAATTTTTACGATACGGTTTTTAATTTGGATGTTGCAACCTTCTATGGCGATGTCAGATTGGGAATTTTTCAAAAGTTCCCCAGCCCAAATCAGGGTTAGCTGGAGAATTTTTTTAGAAACCAATAGATAGAGCAAATTCACCCTATTAGTTGTGTAAGTTTAGAAGGTCTCCAAAAATTTGCTCGATTGAAAAATTTTAAAATGAGGACAAACTATCGGATTGTTTTATAGACTATTTGATGGATCGAGTTCGTCTTTTGCAGTTCTGGATGTGTCGATTTTCGCGAGAACTTTATTGATTTTTAACTATAGTGTTAATCCGAGTAGTGTAAATGTTGTGGTTTCCGGAAATTTTCACTTGAAAATTAGGGACAACTAGAGGCCTCTTTGGTAGAATTTTTCACAAAAAAATATCCAATCTATTATTTCTTGAACTGACGATTTTCTGTATAATTTTATGAATTTTCGACAATTATCTAAAACGGGAGTAGGTACAGTTTGCTTTGAGTCAGCACTATCAGCGGAAGAAGGTTTTCCAAAGATTCCTCGGTATTTTTACAAGCTAGTGGGTTGTTTTACGGACCATTTTATAGAAAGGTTTTCTGACGGTTCGACTTGCAAGTGTGGACTTTTTCGATTATTTTCTCTGTTTTTGGCAGCTGTGAAAATTCGAACGGCGCCATTTGATTGCGGTAGCAATCGACAGAAAAGGTTCATTTTCAATTTTTTTTCCTCGAAATCGCGACCAGCTAGTAGGCCATTTTATAAACTGCTTGATAGAGTCAAATTTGTTACAATTGCTTCAATGCAATTTCCAATATTTGTTGCGCAATTGCTTTAAAGGGGATGCAGAAAATTGTTAGCGATAATTAGCAGATTATGATTTTTTCGAAAATTCACCAGCCAACATCAGGACAAGAATAGAAGGTTGGTGTTAGTAGCCGTTAATAGAGAAACACTCATACTATTGATCCTGAAAGTGGAGATTGTTTTGGTAATTTGGTTGATTTTTAGCAATTGTTTAAATTTGGACGCTTCAAAT